TGGACGAGGAGGAGCAGGAAGAGGAGGAGCGCCGCGGGCCGCTCCCCAAGGTTCCGAGCGGCGCCCCAGAAGCGTACTCACCGCACCTTGCGAAGTCGAAAAAGCGGCATCAGCATGAACTCTCGGAGCTCCGCGCGGATCTCTTGGATCGGCGTTGGGCCCCCCCCCCCGGCGGCGCCTCCGGCGCGGCCTCTGGCGCGTTCCGGTACCGTACCAGTCGAAATAGAAATTGCAGAATAAACATCAGAATGTGCCGCGGTCGGCGCGGATATCTTGGGTCGGCGCTGGGCCCCCTGGCGGCGCCTCCGACGCGGCCCTTGGCGCGCTCCGCGCGCCAGGGGGGCGGGGCCCACCGCCGATCCAAGAGATCAAGAGATCCGCGCGGAGCTCCGAAAGTTGATGCTTATGCCGTTACCTGTTCTCCTACATAACCATGTCTGGATTCCCTTCAGGCCCCGCTTCAACGCGTCACGGCACATAGTTTCCGGCTCCGAGGGGCGAGTAGGTATGCACCGTGCCAGTCCTCGGTGGAGGGTCGACGGCGTCTCTGGAGACGCCAATGCGGTACGGTGCACCCAAGTCGTCCGCGGAGTTGTGCAGTCTCTTCCTGGTTCTAAGATTCAGTCGGGCATGCCCCTCTACAGGAGGAGTGCCCAAGAGTTGTACAGACTGGTAGGGTGGAGATGGTTCGCGCCTTTTGTAGACCACGTGTTGCTTCTGTGCTTCTCTTCGCCTCAAGCTCCGCCTGTAGGAGGACGTGCCCGACCCAATTCCAGGCACGGTGACGGCGCAGACGGACCTCGGCGCGTGGGTGGACATCGGCTGCGAGAGGCCAGGCCTGGTGTCGCGGCAGTACCGCGCCCTGCCTGGCACGTGCGCAGAGAGGCGCGCGGGGGGGCCACCTGCGAGCCCTGCCCCTGCGAGTCCTCTTGGCGCTGGGCTGTCGGGCACCCCCCCCCTCCTCCCCCTTCCTCCTGCTCCTCCTCCTCCTCTCCTCCTCCTCCTCTCCTCCTCCTCCTCCTCCTCCTCCTCCTCCTCCTCCTCCTCCCTCCTCCTCCTCTTCCTCCTCCTCCTCCTCGTTTCCCTCTTCCTCCTCCTTCCTCCTCCCTCCCTCCTCCTCGTTCCTCTCCTCCTCCTCCCTCCTCCTCCTCCTCCTCCTCCAACTCAACCCGAAGGCCTCGGTCTGCCCTCCATTCCCAGTGTGGGGCACGTCGAAGAAGCACGCGTGGAACCCGCCCCCCCCCCCCCAACCCGAAATCGGGGCACCTTCGGGTTAGCTTGGGGTGGTCCGGTAGGCAGTCAGGCGTGAGCGCATCGATCCGCCATCGCCCAGGGATCGCCGGCGAGGGGTCTGATGGCTACCCGCCTGGGCACGTGCGGACCCGCTGCCAGGGGCCGATCGCCGATCTGCCTGGCATCGCTCGGACGTGTGCATTTTTTTTCTCGGCGAGGGCCGTCGAGGAGCAATCTTGATCATTTCGCGAAAAAGCCATGCACGAAACCGAAAAAAGCACAGGAAATGGACGTCCGAGCGATGGCCAGTCTGGCTGCGGGTTCCCCCCTCTGAGCCAGCCCCCTCCCGTCGCCGGGGCTCACCGTGCTGCACACATCTTTCGAAAGCACACACATGGTTCATTGCTAATTATTCGAAGGGTCTTGGATTCTTTGGGGTGGGCAAGATCCTTTCAGTTCTGATTATTCTATCCGTGGCCTCTTCCTGGCCACTAGGGGGCCAGGAACAATTAGAGACGAGCACACTTAGAAATGAGCACGATTAGAAATGAACGACGTGTACCCCCGACGTCATGATTTGTTCCATGACGTCCTCCCCGAGAGGTCTCGACACAGTCCCCTGGACCGGTTTTACCCGAGTCGTGTTTCGACGCTCCTGGGGCCCAGCGAGGGCCCCGGACGCCGAGCAGAGCGGAAAGCTTCCCGTCGTGAGGGGGCCTGGAAATTGTGGACCCCGGCTGGCATTCCAGAAATTTGACCTGCAGGCGCAGGGTTCGCACGTGGTTGCATGGAGGCTGGACGAGTTGCAGGTCGGCGAGCGCGTCGAGACCTACGTGTACCTGCGCAACCCCGCCAACGGCCGGCTCATTCTCGCGCTCGAGCCTAGCCCGATTCTTGGATGATGTTGAAAACGCTTGGGACGTCGTTCTCCGGTTTTCCTTGGCATCGCTCGGACGTTTGCATTGTTCTCCGGCGAGGACCGTCGAGGAGCATGTTGGGTCATCTTGCGAAGAAGCACACGCACGAAGCCGAAGCGTGCACAGGGAGTTGACGTCCGAGGGACAGCAAGTGTCAAGATCGACGTGATTGTTCCGCTCGAGGGTATGTCTGTTTCTCCTGTTTGGGATTCTCGTCGTGCCGTTTCTCTCGGCGGGCTGCCGCTCTTGGGTCTGTTGTGGGCTGCCGTCTTTTCCCCCGTGCTGGTTGGCCAAACACCGAAACGCTGCACACATAAACCAACCAACAAACAAACAAACAACAACACAACAACAACAACGACAGCCGCAGCAACAACAGCAGCAACAACAACAGCAACAGCAACAGCAACATGAGAAAACACTAACACAACAACAGCATAGACAAACACAACAACAACAATCATGCCAATAGTGTTCGCTCCTATCTGCTCACGTGCCAATCAATACGTATATCCCAAGCCCTCGGTACCCGCCCTCGTCGTCTTCGATCGTAGTACCCCCTTGAGGGCATATCTTCCTTACCTGCCTCGTGCATTTAGAGCAGCCCCTCAAACAAGGGGAGAAAAGACTGGTGGAAAGGGGGAGGGAGAGAAATGGAGCACGAGAGAAATTAGTAGGAGGGGGGCAGGGAGCAGAAAGCAAGTGGTCGAACCAGACTGGCAGATCGGGTGGGCAGACCCGTAGCGGGCAGGTCGGGAATGCGGACCCCCGCGACAAGGACGAGCAGGCGAGTTGTTGAAGCGTGGGTCCTGCGTGAATCGAGAGGAAGTCTCGAGCGATTGCAAGATTCCCAAGTAAATCCTGAGAAAGTCCAGAGAGAAAGCGTGATTCCTGAGCGCCGAGGGCGCATCGCCTGAATAAACTGCCAGGAAGTCCGACGCGAGAGCGCGATTCGTATACAAGTTGTGAGGAGGTCCCGCGCGAGAGCGCGACTCGGGAATAAAATTGCGAGGAAATATCAGGCGGGAGCCGTTGAGGTTGTTGTAAACCATGGGCCAACGACACAGGGCACGAGCCCTAGGGGAAGCACTCCAATTGTAAAAAAACACTGGTCACTTGAGGGAGGGGATCGACAGTATTTTTTCACGAATGAGAGTTCAACAGCAATAACAAACCCAAGGTTTTCAACATCAGCTAAGGCCCTACTCCCCGCCTGCAGCTGGGCCAGGTGCCAGATGAGGAAAGGCACCGATACCGCTACCCCATCGGTCGTTGAAAGCAGTGGTTGGGGACCCCCAGAGCCCAACCCATGTCAGGCGACTCTACTCCAAGGCTCGAGCGGGTTTCCAACTTTCGGGGAACAAGCAATGACATAAACATAAAAACTCGGAGGTCCGCGCGGATTTCTCGGATCGGCGCTGGACCCCCCTCCCTGCGCCGGAGGCGCCGCCAGGGGGGTCCAGCGCGGATCCGAGAAATCCGTGCGGACCCCCGAGTTGTTCTGTTTATGCCTCTTCTTGTTCCCCGAATCCTGCCTCCTCGTCGGGGTGCGGGCGCAAGCCCAGTCTGCTTTCGGCGCCTTCTCAATGCCTGTTTCTGCCTCCTCGAGGAGGAGAGGAGGAGAGGAGGAGGAGGAGGAGGAGGAGGAGGAGGAGGAGGAGGAGGAGGAGGAGGAGAGGAGGAGGAGGAGGAAGGAGAGGGAGGAGGAGGAGGGAGGAGGAGGAGGAGGAGGAGGAGGAGGAGGACGAGGAACGGAATGGACGAGGAGGAGGAGGAAGAGGAGGAGGAGGAGGAGGAGAGGGAGGAGAGGGAGGAGGAGGAGGAGGAGGAGGAGGAGGAGGAGGAGGCGGAGGAGGAGCCTGCGTTCGGCGCCTCCTCAGTGCCTGCTTCTGCCCACTTCTCCTCCGACCGGCGGCTTCCCCCCGGCCTCGTGCTCGCTGCCACGGGGGCCTCCTCCTGGGCGGCCCACGCGGCCACGGCCGGCCTCGCCCGGGCAGGCGGGCCAGCGCGGGGAAGCAGGGGAGGCCGCGCCAAACTGGCGCTGAGTCGGGCGTGTCCCTGCACGGGAGGAGTATCCAAAAACAGTCGAACAACAGTCTGGGGACGATTCGCCATGGTTTTTTGAATGCTAGTTTGGAGTGCAGGAGAAACCATCAAACGCTGCTTTTTTGGCTGAAATCGTCTGGGGGCGAATCTCTTCGACTGTTTTGGCTTCTGTGCGGAGCATGCGCTGACGATTTCTGCCTTTGTCTTCCAGGATCCGCCTGTGGGAGGACATGCCCCACCTAACACTGGCGCTGGCACCCCCCTGGCGGCGCCCCCGGCTTCGCCCCTGGCGCGCTCCGCGCGCCAGGGTGGGGTGGCCTGGCGCCGCTCCGAGCCATCCGCGCAGAGCTCCGAGCGCTCCTGTTGACGTACCTTCGGCACGGTGCTTGTGCACCGAGCTCCTTGGGCCGACCAGGCGACCTGCCCAGACGTCCGAGGGCTTGGCTTCCCAAGGCGGGGTCCCCGGAGCTCTGGACCGCTTCCCGGGGTGCCCTTTCGGGGGTGGACAGACCTCCTACCCTGACACGTCGATCAGTGAAATTGTCCGTTGTCGGTTCTCGAGAAGGCGCAGCGGCCTTTATTTTCCAGGCTTGCGCCCGCCAGGTTTGGGCCCACTAGGAGGAGGAGGTAGGAGGAGGAGGAGGAGGAGGAGGAGGAGGAGGAGGAGGAGGAGGTGGGTACGGTGGATAAGCGCATGCGTCTGCGACGCCTCGCATCCCGCGGAGGGGGGGCGGACCCCCCCTGGCGCCAGAGGGCCCAAGGGCCGCCGAGGGCCTGGCCGAAACTCCCTCTGAGGTCCCGACCCCCCCGAGGTCGTTGTCACTAAACCACGTTTTGCTAAAGGGAGGTCTGTGCATCCCCGACCCTCGTTTCGTCCTGGGCCTCTGCTGGCGGTCCCGGGGCCCCCTGCAAGAGACCCCAGGCGCGCCGGAAGCGGCGAGGAGCTCAGCCATATTATGCTCTTCCTCGAGACGTCGGGGGCCTGGGACCCTGGCCTGCCCAGGCGGCCTGGCGCATGCTCGCCCCTCGGCCGTTGAGAGTATGTATGCTGTTTTGGGTTCCCGGGCTCCAGTCTACACCCTAGGCGATGCTTAAGAAAACTTGAGTTTTCGGCCAGATTCTCGATTATTCTTAACGTTTCAATGTGAATCCCAAGATTTTGATAGAAATGTTGGGTTTTTATTCAAGTTCTGAGACTCTGAGTTTCTTAACCCATGATTTCTAAAGCATTTCGCAGGGTGTACTTTAAGTCAGAGCGTGAATTACCTACCCCGCTTTCGCTTCCAGGCAAAACCAAGCCACACCACGCGCCTCCTCGTCAAGCGGCCTGACCAGTACAGGCCGTAGTTTGGCATCGCTTGGTACCTCTTGGAAGCGAGGGTGGTCAAAAGCGAGGTAGGTCTGTTTGCCCCCTATTAAGCGCATTCCTCCGTCAGTGGTCGAGTGGCGTCACCTGCTTCTTCCGACCGAGGGGTATGCCGTCCCCAGACCCCCAACGTCGTTTTTTGTTTGCATGGCGTGGGCCTCCACAGGCCCCAACGATCCAGCTTCGAGGCCCCAGCGATCTGGCTTCCCGATTCGATATGTTGATCCTAACCCGAGCATTTCCTTTCTGGGTGGAGGGCAAAGGGTCAAATCTGAAATGTCGTTTCGACTGGTTCTCGAGGCTTGAATCTGCAAAACGTGAATCATAGGACGGATTGATCTTCGTAGTGCAAAAGGCCATCTGGATGTCACCCTGAGCCCTCCACCCCAAGAAAATGCTCGGCTAACTACTGCCAAGCCGAGGGTGCCAGAACCAAGCCATGGACCCCACGAGGTCTGGACCCCTTCCCAGGGACCCGCTCGTCATCTGGAGTCTGTGTGTTGACGGTCCCGCGGCCCCGTTCGTGAGGGTCCTTGGAGGCCGAAGGTAACGAAGATGCTCCTGTCGTGATTTTTGTCTGCTGTTCCACGGCAGGTCTAAGTCGGGCCTGTCCCCCTACAAGGAGGACTATTCGAAAGTAGTCCCAAAATAGTCTGGGGACGATGTTTGAACTATGTTCGAGCATTTCTTGCATAATTACTTGTTTTGCTTGTTTGTTTTTGTTTGTTATTTTTCATTTGTCGTGCAAAATTCTCCTGTAGGGGGACACGCCCGACCCAACGGCAGGTGCTCGGGGATCGGCAGGGCCAGTACACCGGCTGCGTCTACCGGGTCAAGTACGACTGGGCCTTCCTCGACTTCGGCTGCGAGGCGAGCGGCATGCTGGCCCGGCCGGGCAGCGGCGCGTGGCCCGCGGTGGGGCAGGAGCTGCCGGTGTGCCCCGTCGGCCTGGACGAGGACCCAGACATGAACGCGTCGTCGCAAAAAATCAGGACGAACGGTTTTTCGCTACTTTCGGCCCTTGGGGGCCCTCGCCGGGCCTCAGGACCGTCAGAAACCGACTCAGGACGAAAAACCGGCCCCGGGGAAAGGGTCTGGACTTCTGGGGACGCCGTCCTGGGTACCCATACCGCTACCCGTCGCTCGTTTTCGCGTTTGGGGGCCTCTTGGGAGGCCCTCGTCGCCACCGCCGGGCTCTCCTCGAAATTCTAGTCAGGACGCACCCCAGGAGAGGTCCGGGGAAGCAGCGGTATCGGTACCTTTTTGGGTTCCCGCACAATCCGTGGAGAAGCGTCTCGACATGCCAGGAGGCCCACCAGAAAGTTCTCTAGGAACACGCGTTAGTTTGCACGATCTGTCTGGCTGAGACAGCCTTGCTGCTTTGTTTTGCCATTGACTCCCCGCTGGTAGACCATGGCTCTGTGCTGAGAACTTGTCACGGCAGCTCTAAGATTCTAGGAACGGCCCGGACGTCCGGCCCCCGACCAGAAGAGTCGGGCCGGGCGAAAGGGGGGGATTGGGAAATGGGGGGTTACGAAATTTGTTGCATGCAGCTGGTTTCGGCCCCACCGAGGGGCCCATTCCTCGATACATAGCCGCTTCCAGCGCGGGGAGGCGCCGGGACAATCAGCTACGTGAGCTGATTCTCAAGCCCCCCCTTTGCTATCCCCCCCTTTTCGCCCGACCCGAGAGAGGAGACGGGCTGCGTGGTGATGGAGCGCGCGCGGCCGTCGCCGCCGCCGCGCGCGGCGCCGAGCGAGGCGGCGTAGCGCCGCCCTCTGCCGCAGAGCGCCGGGCACGTCCGGGCCCCCCGGCGCCGCGCGCGGGGCGGGGCGCCCGGCGCGGTGGCGCGGCGCCGTCCCTGCGCGGCGCCGGGTGCGGCCGGGCCTTGCGCGAGGCCCGCCGCGGGGCGGGCGGCGGCGGCGCCTTCGTCGCGCCCCCGCCGCCGCGGGGCGCGCGGGGGGCACTCTGCAGGCCCAGGCCGCCGCGGGATGCCCGGCGCGAGCAGGCCTTCTTCGTCGTCTCCGACCTCGGCCACGAGGCCTGCGCCGGCCGCCGGCCGCCGCCGCGAGGTGGGCACGTCCCTGCAGGGGAGCGACTGCACAACGGAGTTGCCCCAGAGTTGATGCTCTCTGTTCGAGTCCACGGGAATGCGTGGAATGCTTTTTTTTCAGATTGTCGCCCATAGCGACGAGAGCAGCAATTCTGGGGTAGCTCAATTCTGTAGTCTACCTCCTGCTCGAACACAGCTTCGCCTCCGCCCCAGACCCCCGAGGGTCGTGATCTTCTGATGGCGTGGCCCCCCAGAGGTCTGGGCTTAAGTCAGGCATGTCCCTCTACAGGAGGAGTATTCAAAAACAGTCAAACAATAGTCTTGGGACGATGTGTTATGACTTGTTCTTGCTATTTTGGAACATGCTCTGCGTATTTGAATGATTTCGCCCGAAATCCGCCTGCAGGGGGACATGCCCGACCTGGGTTCTGGGCCCCCTTCCCCAGGGGACGGGCGTCTCCTCCTGCGTCGCTTGTGGACGGCCCCGATGCCCGGGTCGGGCCGGGCGAAAGGGGGGGATTGGGAACGGGGGGGTTACGAAATTTGTTGCATGCAGCTGGTTTCGGCCCCACCGAGGGGCCCATTCCTCGATACATAGCCGCCTCCGGCGCCGGGAGGCGCCGGGAAAATCAGCTACGTGAGCTGATTCTCAAGCCCCCCCTTTGCTGTCCCCCCCTTTCGCCCGACCCGACCGGGGCTGGGCCCCCGGGGGCCGCAGCCGGCGAAACGAGTCGCCCATTGTGCCTTCTGCCGTGCGCCGAGGGGGTCCTGGGGCCGCGGAGGGCCGAAGCGCTGGACCTCGAGTCGGGCACGTCCTCCTCCTTCTCCTCCTCCTCCTCCTCCTTTTCTGCTCCTCCTCCTCCTCCTCCTCCTCCTCCTCCTCCTCCTCCTCTTCCTCCTTTTCATCCTCCTCCCTCCTCCCTCCTCCCTCCTCCCCCCTGGACAAGCGCCCAGGGCAGCACCCTGGCAGGTGCCCTCGGGCTGCCGCAAAGAGCGTCCTGGCAGGTGCCCTCGGGCCTCCCCGGGAAGCGTCCATGGCGGGAGCGCTCGGGCTGCCCAGGGGGCAACGATAGGGGGGGATAGGCATAGGGGGGCCGCATCGACACGCAATCGCCCATTGATCGCCGATAGGGGCCCGATAGCCCCGATCTGCCCAGGAAGGTGCGGATTCACTACCAGGGGCCTCTCGCCGATGTATCGGCGATGTATCGCCGATTCCAGGTCGATGTATCCCCCCCCTATGCCAGTCCCCCCCCTATCGTTGCCCCTCAAGGAGGAAGATTCAAACATAGTCAAACCATAGTCTGGGGACGACTTTGTTTTAGCACTGCGTTGGGCTATGTTTGCGATGGTAGTTGGGAGTATCTTGAATCGTTCGCTCAACATCCGCCTGCAGGGGGACATGCCCGACCTGAGCTCCACCTCGGCTTGCTGGCCGCGCGGCGGGCGGCGTGCTGGCCCGGGCGGGCAGCGGCGCGCGGCCCGCGCCGCCCCGGGCCTCCAAGAGGTGTGGCCGGCGGCTCGTGCCGCATCGCCGAGGCATCGGCGGCGCGGCTCGATGTGGAGTCCGCTTTGCTTCACGTCGGCGTCGCCGACGTCGACGACGCATCGCGGAGGCGTCGCCGATGCGTCGGCGGTGCGGCGCGACCCTCCGACCCCATCCACTGCGACCCCGTCTAGGAGGCCACCAGCCGAGGCAGGGGGGGCCCCTCGTCGCGCGCCGGGGGGCCCTCGAGGCCTCGAGGCGCCCTCGCGGCCCTCGAGATCCGGAGCTGGCTGGGGGTCCAGCACTGCTCTCTGGCCCGAGCTGGTCTGGTCGAGGGCTTGCTTGCTGGTTGGTAGGCGCCTTGGTCGAGAATTGGCTTGCCGTTTTGGTGCTGGTGTGCTTGCTGGTTGGTTCTGGTTCGGAGTTAGTTTGGTCGAGGTTTGGAGCGGGTTGGAGGTGGCCCAGCACTTGTTCCTAGGCCTCCCAGACGGGGTCCGACCAGATGGGGTCGGAGGATTGCGTCGCATCGCCGATGTATCGCCGATGCGGTTCGATGTGGAGTCCGCTGTTCTACACGCCGACGGCGGCGATGCATCGCCGACGTCACCGATGCATCGCTGGTGCATCGGCGATGCGGTGCAATCCTCTGACCCAATCTACTCTGACCACATCTAGGAGGCCTCTGAGCATAGGTTCGGGCCAGCAGGAAGAGGAGGGGGGGGGGTCGAGGTTCTGGGTTGTCGAAACTGCTTTGCCTCATTCGGTGTCCACGGGGCCGTTTTCCGGAGTTTGGGGCCAGACTCTGAGCGGATTTGCCCCCACCCCCTGCCTCCTTGACTGATGTTCTCGGGGACCGTTCAGCTCAGACCACCCCGCCGCTTCCAATATTGGGCCTCCGCGGCCCTCGAGGCGCCTCAAAGGGAGGAGGAAGGGGGGAGGGGGATGGGGAGGAGGAGGAGGAGGAGGAGGAGGAGGAGGA